ACCTGTTTGCAGACTTGTTACAACTTGTGCTTTTTAACGTGTGTAGGTCTGTGTTAGAAATAATGTTTCATGATTAAATTACGCGATTCAAATGGAACAACTTTCAGGGCGCACGAGACAGATATGTACGTTATGCAAAGCAGTTTCTAAGTATTCATTCAATAGTATATTTTATTTTATTTTATTTTATTTTACAAGTTCGCCATTATTAAAGATATAAACTAACTATAAATTACACACAATGGTTGGAATGACCGCACAGAGATAAAATCTCCAATAACGTGTTTTCACAGCATACACACATAAAAACGCACACGTTGTTACAGGTCTGCAAACAAGTTGTTACAAATCTGTTCACAAGCTGTCAACAAGTTGTGTTCGCACTGCTTGTTCCCAGTTGTTGTAACAAGTTTGGAACAAGCTGTTAACAACTTGTAACAAGCTTGATGGCACTATCAGACTTGTCACAAGGTTTTACTAACAAGTCTGATACAATCATGATACAACAAGAATGTTACAAGGTTGATGACACAAGGTTGTAACAATATTGTTATATCATGACTGTATCGGACTTGTTGGAACAACCTTGCAACAAGTCTGATAATATCAACAAGGTTGTTACAAGTTGTTAACAGCTTGTTCCAAACTTGTTGACAACTTGGGACGAGCAGTGCGAACACAACTTGTTGGCAGACTTGCTACAATATGTGAGATTTTGACGCGTGTACACATACACTATGGCGTGACAGATATTAGACATATACACACGCAAAAGTCTCACATCTTGTAGCAAGTCTGCCAACAAATTGTCTTCGCACTGTTTGTCCCAAGTTGTCAACAAGTTTGGAACAAACTGTTAACAACTTGTAACAACCTTGTTGATATTATCAGACTTATTGCAAGATTGTTCCAACAAGTCCGATACAGTCATGATATAACAATATGTTACAACCTTGTGTCGTCAATCTTGTAACATTCTTGTTATATCATGACTGTATCAGACTTGTTAGAACAACTTTGCTACAAGTGTGATAATGCCATCAAGCTTGTTACAAGTTGTTAACAGCTTGTTCCAAACTTGTTGACAGCTTGTGAACAGATTTGTAACAACTTGGTTTGCAGACCCGTGTAACAACTTGTGCGTTTTTACGTGTGTACTAATAAACAGATAAACAAATTAACAAGCCACAAATTGAAACAAACAACGATAAAGACTGACAAACGACATGTTGATACCGTTTTCGCTGATGAGATCCTTATTGAAATTCTGGACTCGTGAATGAATATATTTGAGTAATTTGAAGCTGTTGAGTTTGTTTATGTATCGAGAAAGCTGTATTAACATTTTAATGACTGTTCTAGTAGTTGACAGTTTTGCACTTTCCCACATTTAGGAAAGTTCCTTTACTTGCACTTCTTGTTTCTCATGTTGAGACTTTGACCGAGATGTTACTGTCAGAGTCATTTATGAGACTTTTAAAGATATAAATTATGTCTAAATATTCGTGCCAGTAACATAGAGGGATGATGCCGAGAATCTGCAATCTCTCCTTAATCCTTATACGAGATATCTGTTTGGTATGGCAGAGATAGGATGAACTTAGTGGCACGATGCTGAACACGTTCGATGGTTAGAATGGTGCTGACCGTCTGGGTGCGCTTACGGGAGCTCGCGAAAAAAGTTAGTAGCAGTACTTTATTGATGTTCTATAACCTTTATTCATGTTCTATAACCTGAGAGGGTAGGGTGGGCGGCTGCCCCCAGATTGTTGGGCAAACTAGGCCAGCCGGGCAATATTCGCTTCACAGTCGGGCAATACTGGCTTATTATAAAAATAAATAGGAGAAATTCTCTCTCGATACATAGAGAAAATATGCTATATAATAGTCGAAAATACTGGAAAAATATAAAAGTTATAATAAGGGAGAGGTCATTATTTAAGGCGGGGGGTGGCACCGAGGAGAAAAGGGTTGGGTAAACAAAATTTTGAGTGAGTAAAAGGTTGGGTAAATGATAAACAAAACAACTCAAGGGTTGGGTAATAAAAATCTATTGTCATTTCCAAAGCATGACTCACTGAAATATTGAAGACTAAAAAGCAATGTCAACTGGTCATATGTCAATACAATATGTGAATCAATCGAAGTCACAATCTTGATAATTTTCCGTTTTGTTGGGAGATAAATGGTGTCTCCAAAGGAAGTACACACGCAGACAACATGAAACTTTAGACTGCAGAAAATTTCATAATCCGTTATCAAACTCATGCCACAGTAGGCAAAACTGATGTGTGACAACTGAATGGTATCTTTTTGTAACGTTTTTGGCCAGGGGTGGGTATATATTTTTTAATTGATATTTGAGATTGGATAATCAAATTTTTTTACTTTTTAATGATTGGGTCAGTACAATTTTTGCCACAAAAAACATTTCTCCTCGGTGCCAACCCCC